ATAAGTAAAAGCAGAGATTAATAATAAATAGACAAAAAATCTAATAAATAAAATTTTAAAAATTAAAAAAAAAATTACAAAGTAGTAATAAATGAATTATAAAACCAAAAAAAAAAAAATGCGATATTAAAAACTTATCATTTAAATAAGTAAAAGTAGAGATTAATTAATAAATAGACAAAAAAAATTATAAATACAATTTTAAAAATTACAAAAAAATTACAAAGTAAAAGTAGTAATAAATGAATACATACATAAATGGATGGAAAATACTGACAAGCAGAGGAAACTTTAATTAAAAATATATATATAATAAAATAAATAATATATATATATATATATATATATATATATATAATAAATACATATAATAAAAAATATAAGTAGTAATGAATAAATAAATAAAACAAAAATTTAAATGAATAAAAAATAAATACAATTTTAAATAAATTTAATTTAAAGTAAAAGTAGTGATAAATGAATAAAAAATTAAATGTAAAACATTGACAAGCAGACTAAACTTCATCAATATAATCACCAAAGAATTTCTCATATTTTTTAAGAATCGGTCACATTTTTTATGACTAATTATAGAATAAGATTTGAGAAGCGAGTCTACCTCAGTCAAAAAAATGTAAAGAGATCAATATAAATATTTCTGTTTATGGATAAAAAAAATGACCAAACAAAAAGAAATTGAAGATCTATTCCTTAGACGTATAGGATATATACTTAGTCATTATAGCAACAAATAATACCTTTTAAATGTAACTAAAGATTTAAACATGGGAGTATAAATTAGACTTCGGAATAAATTGACAATAAAATGTATTAATGTTTCATCCTCACAACTACGAAGTGGACAGGAGCTGGGAACAAGGGCATATTCAGACGTTTATATTTACTGATATATGTTGTGCATGACTTTAAAGTGTTATTCTCTGGTCTTTTCGGTAAAACAGCAGCCGAGCTTTTCTTCTTCTCGAGTTTCTGTGAGTTTAGCTCAGCTCAGAAAACACAATCTGTGTGTGCTTTCTAAAGAGCACCGCGTCAGAGCATTATTTTCAATTCAGATAAATATGATTCATGCATTCGCTGCACTTCAGATATGAAAAAGCTCCTGAATTCTGATTTATTGGCGCTTAACTGTGACCATATCAGATCTCTTAGTATTTTAGCTACATGTATGCATGTGTTTTGTATCTGTATCTAATCATATTTTGTGCGTGTTTGTGTTTTGCAGCCAGAGAACGAGGAGAAATTAATAACGTATGACAACATCGGACCCAATGTGTGTATGGGGGACCACAAGGTACAACTAACTAACCTCTCCAACTAGTTTGTGTGTATGAATTCAGATATACTTGGGTGAGAAAATAGTCTTTGGAAGTGAGTTAAATCTGATTAAACCTAAAAATAACTCTAAAAGAAGAAGAGGAACACAGCGCTTCTGCTGCTCTGCGATGATGCGGTCGATAGGAGACACTCCTGACCAATCACTGATCAGTATGCAAATACATTCCAGAAAGAACACTAATCAGAATGCAGTATGCAAATGACTCCTCTGCTGTTTGATGAATGCTGAAGATCCTAACAGTGTGAACGAGAGATTTTCAAACGGTTTTATAGAAAACCAAAAAGATGTCTCAATATTACAGCACTGTTCTTATTCTAAATGACTTGTGGTTCTGAATATGATATTCTAAATAGTCCGGGGTATCTTAAAAATACCTTTTTAAAATGTATTTATTTAGTATGTTTTTTTTATTATATTATTGGAGTTTTTACATCAAGTGGTTAAAGCTGAATTAGGGCTGGACGATATGGCCAAAATTGATATCACGATATATTTCTTAATTTCGGTCGATACGATATAATTCCGATATCGATATGAACACTATTTATCTGAAACACACACACACACACACACACACACACACACACACACACTTCCACTAAATCAAATGTTCTTCTGATGTCTCTCAGCCTCGTTTCCCAAACTCTAACAGAACATCAGAAAAGCATCCTTGCGGATGTATTTAGACGTAATATTACGAGCTACTTCCATACAGTATGTAAGATATTTTAAAAAGTGCAATGCAAAGCCAGTTGTTGTATTTCTCTATGGTTAGGTTTATTTGTACATGATGATAGCGCTGTGCTGATTTTAGTGCTTTCTCTCTGTTAGAACAGATATCTATATTCTATGATTTTCTTCCTCTCTTGACTCTTGTTTATCGTGGTTTTTTCTTGATTTGCCGTGTACAACCCAATACAACCGCCGAGTCTCATTTTATATACTGTACTTTTTAAAGAGATAATTTATAATGCGTACCAAAACTATTATATGCTGACATATTGATACGAACGGCTGCTTTGGGTGTAATGTTTGAATAGCTATAAAGAAACGACTAAATCCACATCATCATAAGCAGAAAATGCCATTTCAGCCAATATGATTTATATATATATATTTAGCCAATTTAATTTTTTTAAATCTTTTAAGCAGTGCCATACACCATGCAAGTGTATAAGATAGTTTCAGCTCGGTTCTTACAGTGCTGTTCTTATTCTAACTTATTTCTGTGTGATAATGTTATGGTTGAATGTGATATTTTAAATAGGCCTGGGTATCTTAAATAGCTGTATCCTTTTTTCCTTTGTTGTTTTTTTTGTATGATTTCTTATTATATTATTGTGTCATGGTGCCAACTATTGAACTCAGTCAAATGTAGAGTTTGAGTTACGATGGCATTGTGCAGAAACACTCAAATCAAGGACCAGGAGAAATGTCTGTACACCATATCTGTTTTAGTCCTGAGTAACAGTGTGTTTTTCCCAACAATCTACACTACAGTCTTTATTTCTGAATGGCCATCAGTGGGAATGATTTTGTGTCGCGTTGGCAGTGATTTGGTTTGAAGAACTGCTTGTTAACCGTGTTTTTCCCAGCAGGGCAGCTGATAGGATTCACTCTTTTCTTTAAGCAGATAGCGATTAGACCTGGTGGATGGCAAGACCTCCAAAAGCAATAAAACCATTAGAACTCAATGAATGAATGAATGAAGCAGTGCCTCTTTGTCATCAGTCACACCGTGAGATTCACTAAAAAAGCCTTTGACAGTTACATGCATTTGCAGAAATGTCCAGCATTTTGTCCAAACAATAATAAAAGGACACCTTTTCATTTATAATTTGTCTTGAATCTCATTTTGTTAAAAAAAAAAATTTGTGAGAAAATCGTATCGTGAAATCATTATCGTGAATCGCATCACATTGTGAGTTGAGTGAATTGTTACATCCCTAAGTGACATACTTGCACATCATTAAAATGACAAGTAAGATATTATCATAGACAATTAATATTGCACACCCCTAATATCTAGCGATACTGCACTCTAAAAAATACTGGGTTGTTTCAACCCAACTTTGATGGACCAGGACGGACTAACCCAACTTTTGGGTTAAAAATTTAATGTAAAAATGTTACCCAACAGTTAGGTTAGTCCATATTTGACCCAAAGTTGGGTTGAAACAACCCAGCATTTTTTAGAGTGTATATATATATATATATACACACACACACACATAGAAATATATAGTTATTTAGGGAACGTCTTACTATATTTATGATATTGTGTGTTCATTTGATCAAACTATTTATAAAAATCATTATATAACTGAATACATCATGATATCATTATCATTTGTTATGGCTGAATATCTTTGTCTAAAAGTGGAAATGCACACAAACAGAAAGTTCAGGATTATGTCTTTCTTTTGCATGCAAGTATATTTCTATACACGTTTCAACAGCATTTCCGTAACCACAAAAGTTAGTCGCTCGCCGTTACCATAGCAACACATCGCGCGATATTCGTTGCGATTAATACCGAAGTCGTAGTCTACTGTCGTTACTATTTAAATATGAATCTGCATATTAAAAAAAAAAAAAAAGTTTTTTCGATGTGTTTATAATATGTTAATTCTAATAGTGCGGTCACGAGAGTAACACCGACGGAAACGTTGGATCTAAAAACTGCTCGTTTGGCGTGAGAAATAAAAATATAAACGAATCTGTAAATGCTTGTTTAAAGAGCTTTTACTGATTATCTTCATCAGTCCGGGCTCTTAAAAATAACACCTCATCGTCTGTAAAAAGAGACTAAATGTTCCTCTTATTAGGCTACATCGACAGGTGTTGTCCCTCTTTAAACGAACGCGTGTAATCTCAAATTATTCGTAACAATTAATGGAGAGCGGGGCACAAAGTAACACTTTTTGACTTTCTCAGTTTGTGTAAATCCACATGGGGGCTCATAGTATAATTTTTTTATCCACAGTAATTTCACACTTGTCTAGTACAAATATGTCGCCTTGTTTCAGAATTCACAGTGTATACATTTTTCTTTATTTACCCTCAAAAAATGGAAGTGAAATGTGACAACATGCCCCGTAGGTGGGGTACATTGTAACATCTGAGGGGCACGTTGTAACATGACCATATAACAGCTTAAAATCTTATCTGATCGAATGAAAAAAATATACAAGACAAACTAAAATATTTTGTCAATAAAATAAAATTAACTTTTTAAAATAAAATAATGGCGTTTTTTAAGAATTAAAAATTATCAGATTTTGGAGTTAGCGAAGAATTTAAAAACTATCTAAACTTTGGAGATTTTGGATTGGAGATTAAAATAATAGCAGATTTGCCTCATTTTAAATGAACACTAAAAACTGAGGTGAAAAATTTACTAAAGCCAGAAATGTACTTTTACTATGGTGAAATAAATGTTCGGGGATATCTTCAAAAGATTTTTTTAATTTTGGCGCAGTTTTTTCTCTATATAGTGTTGATATGGCAACTAGTAAATACCATAAATGTTGTTATGCTAGCATGTGTGGAAATATTCAAACCACGTGTGTTACAGCTAACCCCGCGTTACTTTGTGCCCCGCGCTCCTCTATGTGAGATTTTAATATCATTACTATATGATATTAATGCACGGATGCCTATAACATAATATGCATTTGCTAGCAAATTTCTCGCGGCCAAATAACTGCACATCTCAAAATATATGCGCCACAAAACAACCAATAAACATGAAATAAACAAAAACGACCAGGACATATTTAAAACATTGGCTTGTTAAATAATTTATTGATGATACAAAGTTTCCTCACGGAAGCGGTAATATTCTCTTCATCGATATTTACGTCCATCTTTGTGTATTTTCCGTGCTGTGAGGTAAAACATAAACTCCAGCGGACAGAAGTACATTCATTAAAACAAATTCTATTCACATCATTTACAGCACTGGCACTTTATACTCGTGTGTAGCTGTTTCCGAGATAAAGAAGTGAAGCTTTCAGGCGGAAAAGGCGTTATTCGTCTTCAATCGAAGACTAAATGATCTTAATGATGATGATGATGATGATGCTTTAATAACATAATTTACTCAGTAAAAAATATATATACATCTCACGTCCACTTCTACCTGTACAACCGCATTCAAAGCAAAGAACTGAGTTTATACCCTGCTTAATTCTGCCTCGGTTCTCCAGAAGAATCTGAAGCAGAGGATGATGATGATGAAGATGATGAAGAGTCTTTAGCTCAGCATCATCACAACGTGTCCGAGCTGTTGCTGCACGGGCTGATGAGGGACAGGTTACACGTCTTGTGCTTTTTTAACAGTCTCGTGATTTTCTCGTCGTCGGAGTTCGGGTCCAGAGGTTTGTTGTATTCATCATCATCATCATCATCCTCGTTTTCCGAGCTCTCCTTCATCCTCTCCGTCTCGGAGTCGTGTTTCTTTTTAGCCGTGGCCATCTCAGCCGCGTGCCTCTTGCGCCATTTGGTTCTTCTGTTCTGAAACCAAACCTGAGACAGAAAAAGGCACTTCAGCACACTGTCCGTACTGTCAGTGATCAATTATTATTATTTAAAAGAAATGCAATAGTTGCATGCAACTTCACTGAAATATTTAAACCAAGCAAAAGGTGCATGAACTCAATTGATTCAAATAATAAAAGCATGTTAGCCAGACAGTGTGCAAATATACTAGACGCTGTGCAATGCAGTGCAACACTGCCAGTGATGTTTTCTTGGTTAACAAATATTAATTTAACTTTTAACATTATAAATGAATGCACCAACAGTTTTGCTTTTTAATTTCACATTTAACCGACAGTGACTCTCGCAGATAAAATCACCTTTTGCATTGAGAAGAAAAAAAAAAAAAAAAGAAAGAAAAGTTTTTATTAATAAAACCCGCCTCTGTTTACCTTGACTTGGCTCTCGGTCATTCCCAGAGAATAGGCGAGCCGAGCTCGCTCCGGTCCGGCCAGATATTTGGTCTGTTCGAAGGTCTTCTCCAGCGCGAAGATCTGCTGTCCGGAAAAAGTTGGTCTGGAGTGTTTCTTCTTCCCATCCTTGTCCAGCATCAGATGTGCCTGGGCTGGAGAAAACAAGACAAGGTCAGCCAGATCAACTCAGAACGAGACATTCAACTTTGACCCACAAGTGTCAAAAAAACTCACCCGGACAGGGAACCCGCGGGTCTCTCCAGGGCGAAGCCTGCATCATTCCCGGCCAGAATATGGGCGCCCTCCCGGGCAACTCCGTCAGCGGTTTGGGGTACCGAGACACCGCCGCGGGGTTGAAGTACATCCCGGCTGATGTCAAGCCGTTGATCCGGGGAAAGCCCGAGAGCAGCTGTCCTGCGGTGATGGGTCTCCCCAAGATATCGCTTATTCCATGCGGCGTTCCCAGCGGGATCTGAGAGCTCAGGTTGCAGAAGGAAGGAGCCTTGAAGCCCGCGGGGTTCTGCAGGGCGTACGGGAATAAAGAGGTCTTCATCTCGGTCATGTTGTGCAGCGCAGCCAGAGGAGTGCTGCCCAGAACGAACGCACTCTGCCGGTTACTATCCATCTGCCCGACCGCTATCATTGGTGCGCACGAACCACAGGATGCTCCGCGTAAAAAGTACAACAGCGCACTCAACTCGACAACTCATCCACTGGAGCTGGAAGTCAGAGTCTGCGAATGTCTCCCATGCAAAAGAGTTTCACGAGCGTCCCGAAGCAGAATCCGGATGCCGGCCGCCGGCAGATCTCACGCCCGCTTTGAGTGCCGTGATCGCCCGCATCTGAAGCGCCGTCCTCCGGTCAGTGGCCTCCAGCGGCGACGGCGAGCAGATAACCGCGCGAGCGCCTATCTCCCATTGGAAGACGCTAAGTGACGCCGCGCTCTGATTGGAGGACGCGAGGCGGCGGATTTGCATGGGACAACGCCGCACTCCATCAAGCGCGGCATTAATAACGCGTCGCACTGTAGAAATCATCGTTTCGACATTTAACACAAACGACGCGTTTACTTTATAACGCTGGCAGAGTAAGTACACTAACCTCCATACAACTAA